GATGTAAGCGACCGTCGGTGTAAGCGAGCCTGTGGTGCCGCCCGAGGCCGGCGGTGCGGGGCCGGAGCGGGCAGGAGGGCGGGCGGCAGCAGGTGGGAAGCTGGAGAAAGGGTTGTGTGCTCGACACTCAAAGTAAGAAGGAAGGATTGAGTTGGGGAGGCGGGAAAGAAGGGAATTTTTCCTTCCTGGTGGGCGTTACCCTGTGGTTTGAGGCAGTTTTCAGCTCTTGCAGCTCCGGGTGGGGTTGGAGTAATCGGAAAGATGCCTTTGCGGTATTCCAAACGGGTTTCTTGGAGACACTGCAGTTTGGCCCCAGGTGCTGTAGTTGGTATCTCATCACCTGCATGTATTTGTTGAAGGCATTTTAGGTGTAAGCTAACCTTTGATTAATAATAGTAGGGGACATTTTCTGTTTGTCAAGTTGGTCCATAAAACTTAAAAAGTTGTGGGGATTTTTTTAATTTTTTTTTTACATGAGAGCAACAGGGGTGAGGCTTTTAGCTGTAAGAGTGGAAAGAGCGGGCTTTATCACTGAGGCTTTAAACACACAGAATGCGGAAGATTTAGGCATAAACCCCTACGCAGGGCCTCATCTTGATCCAAAGATGACATGCAGGTTGTGGATCTGAATGATTCCCTTCCAGATGAGGGTTGTGAGTAGCATTTCCATCCTTTTTTTAGAGATGGACTCTAAAGATACAGAAGGAGCTATATGGTGTGAATAGATACTGTTGTCCTTCCTTAATCTTTGACTACCAAAATTGGAGGATAGCTGGAGGGACATATTGTCACTGATGTGCTTTTGAGGAAGAGGAAAGCAAAGCTAGAAGAAAATAAGAAAATGAAGGCCTGTTTTTAAGAAATTGTAGGATGGAAAAAGTTGGATCACAGTCAAATTGAGAAATCAGAAAGAGGGAAGACGCCAAGTTTATATGACAAGGAAGGAAGAATAAGGACATGGGTTCTCTTGTTGCTTGTAAAGAAAAGTTATATTTGGTCCTTCATTTTTCTGAATCAAATAAAACCTGTGATGAGTTTCCATGGGAAAGGTTGGATCTGATTTTTGGTGTGCCTGTTCGCTTAACATTCAGTCTTCAATCACCTGAGAATATGTTTTGACTTCTTGCAGCTGTCTTGGATAATGAGAGATTAACAGCAGAGGAAATGGATGAAAGACGACGCCAGAATGTAGCCTATGAATACCTTTGTCATCTGGAGGAAGCAAAGAGGTAAAATAAGTGGTTTCAAAACTGCTGGTGCTTTAAAAGAAGGGTGATATTTGGTAAGGAGAATAATTTGGATGCAGCTTACCTCTTGTCTGTGTTTCTTCGTGACTATATGGATTCATTTAAAAAAAACAAACAAAACCCCAAAAAACAACTGACCTCTGATGTGCTTATTTAACATGTTCTTAAAGACTTTTTGTGACAAGGACTCCATAGCTCTAGTGCTCCAGCATTCCTAGCACTGGATGGGCTCTGCCTGTTATCTAAGTTTTATATGTCTTGATGCAATATTATCTTACTACTTATCAGTGGACATAAAGAACAAGTTGTTCTCTTAACTGCAAACTTTTACAAATTTAAATTGTAACAGTGTATTTCCCTTGCACTTATCTTCTGGTAGACTGAGAACCCAATTCTTGCATATTTCTCTGTGGGTCCTGTTTAATAGATCTTTTGTACTTATCCCTGGATTATTCTGACTCTCTCCCTTCACTCCATGTCTTTCTGGAAGTGTGCTACCAAAACAGAGACAAGTTTCCCAACAGGGGTGTTAACATGCATACTTGCAAGAGCACAAGGATTATTTTCTGTACCCTGATAGGTATGCTAGTATTGTACATTATGGTATGGTATCTGCATTTCCATAATGATAGGATATAGTAGAGTTTTGCTGAGTTGTCACCCTTTTCCTTGAAGGTGTCCCGCTGAAATCTGTTCCTCATCCTGTATTTGTACAGTCTGTCATGTTTTCCTGACTGTGTTACTTTTCACTTCATCCTGC